GGATCCCTTACTTCTAAATTTGGCAATGAATTTAATTCTCCTACATGACTAGTCATGTTTCTTCTGACAATCCTAATATATATATATATATATATATATATATATATACATTTAGGCCATTTAAAGCAAACTCACACACACAACGCATACACAAAGACTCGAACCCAAAACCTCTTAGTTGGAAGCATAAGCTCTCAACCAATAAGCCAAGGTGAGCTGTGTTCCTAATATATTTTCACTTCTCTGTGAAATATGAACACTTCCAAATCCCTCGCCATCAATCATTGTAATAGTTCTCAAAGGCTCTGTATTCACTAATGAACTCGGTATTGTAGCATTAATGTCAGACCTGAAGCCCTTAGAATTTATGGAACTAGCATGAGATATTATTGTAGGTGAAAATCAGGGAGAATTCACCTTATTTTGTATAGCCAATTTTATGGCATCAGCCGCTACTTTATGATCCCTCTCTCTATACTAAATATTTTAAAAGTAGTATAATAATATTACAACATTGGCTAACACGCCCAACAATATAGAAGGCAAGATCCCTAATAAGAATTTCTAAAAAGAAATCTTACTTCGAACAACTATAACAAGATTATGTGGGTTACAAATGGGAGAAGCAACCGATCCAATATTTGAGCTGGAAGTGAGATCTAGAAGAAAAGGTTAGGGAGGGAGATTGTTATGCCTAACAATTTTAAGATGAATTCAGGGGGAACAACACAACAAGTGTCATTAGTGAACAAAGCATTGGAAATAGCTAAAAAAAGGCAGACTCTGCTGAGTAAATCCTTGCCTCTACCTTTCCTTGTAAGCAATTTGCCAAGATACTTGAATATATCTTCCCTTTCGAGGTAGATGCTAGTAATCATGGTTCCAAAGAGGAGACAAAGAATAGGAAGATCTATGACTCCATAAGCTTCATCTGGAGAAATCACTCGGAAGATAACTATGAGCATAACAAAAAAAAGAGCATTAACTGTTTTCCCAATAGACGGGTAAGGCATGACACGAAAAATGACTAAAACCCAGAAAAAGCCAAAAGCAGTATTGCCTAGAACTACCTTTATTGTCGACAACATTCCTATTGTTTTTGTTTCCAATCAAACAAAGCAAAGAATGATCAAGTTATATATAGCTCCCAACGAGCTTGCTATCAAAATACCATAAACACCGTACAGTTCTAACCAATTCTTTAATCATAGTACCTTCTTTATAGCAAATTATGTTACTATGATTCATTCTTCTCTTTAAATATGCAAATAAACATGTACTTTTTCAAGAGTGCCTTAAATAATGTGTTTTAAATATGCAAAAAAATGTGTTTTATTTACCAAAGATTTACCTCTTTCGGAAGAGGTGAAAATATCTATAGCCGGAACTATTCTTGCTTTTTAAACTTGGGTATGATTGGAAGCCTTCTCATTGTTTTGAGTTTTGTTCCATTGTTCATCCTACTTCTTTATGTCCAACTAAGCCTCTAGATCAAAAAGATAAGGTAATTGAAAATAATGATAGAGGGCAAACCAAGACTAGGAAAGTCTGGAAGAAGACTTCCCGGCATTCTAAATCTGCATATCCTCCCGAAAGTAATGTTTTCGGCCTTCTAAACCCCAAAAGAAGAGCAAAGAGCATTCCAATAGTCACAAGATAGGCAGGCACATTTCATTTAAAAAATTCTGATGAAATCAGTTTGCAAAACGGATACCTAACGACTCCAAAAATCCCACTTGTACTGATAGATGTCGATTTCTTAAGAATTTTAAGTGTGAAAAAAAAAATTATGAAATAAAAGTGTAATTAAAGCACAACACCGTAATATTCTAACGAAGAGGGTTTGTAATTTAGACTTATAATGACTCCTGAAATAATTATTGACTGTTTTAGATCAACAAAAAAAATCTTGAAAATTTTAACGATTATACAGTTCTCTTGCTCCTGGTGGCTGGAGTTGTTCATCTCCTCTTGGTGCAGGAGATTGGTTTGGTGAATTTTTTTTTTTATCTGTTGATTCTCATGAGGTACTTTTGCTTGGTGGCCTAGCTGTTATCTGGATGGATATTTTGTGGCTCTATTCGGCTGGTGGAGCTTTCTCTTTGCTGATCTTCTGTTCTTCTTTTGGCGGATTGTCTCCTGGAGCTACTTTCAGTTTTCTGGGCGATCTCTTGTATTAGTTAATCTTGGAGGTTGTTTTTTCTCCTGTAGTTTGGTGGCTAAGGATTACTCAATTTTGGTGGCATAGGAATTCTCTTGAAGATTGTTTTCTGGCTCTCTTTTGGGAGTTGGTGTTTTACTCATTATTGGAGCTTGGTTTGGGGGCTGCTTGTGGAGCCTTTTTCTTTGCTAGTTTCCTTGTTTTGCTTAGTGTTGGAGGATCTCTTAAGCAGTTAAGCTGGTCGTGTTTCTTTGCATGTTTGTAGATAGGGCTTCTACTGTATTGCTTAGTTTTTTTTTTTTTTTTTTTTTTTTCTCTCCCTTTTTGGAGTTTATTTGTATGTTAAGTTTTGTAAGTTTTTTTTTCTTACAAAACTATTATTTTTTTTTTCTTTTGTAATCTTTTATTTTTGGAATGAATTTGGGCATGTTTGCCCCTAATTTTTCAAAATAAAAAAAGTGTGCCTTGAAATTAAATATGTTGGGTTATTTCTTCTTCCCATTATTTTCGAATTTCTGTTTCCATATGCAGTATAAATAAGGTTAAAATTAATAAAAATATAATATAAATATTAAAACGATCAAAAAATTTAAGAAATACCGTCCATTTAAATCACTCTCAATTTAATTTCCTATTCATTTATATTTTTTTCTAGGTTGATATTATCTTAATCATGTATTGATTCTATCTTAAAGAGATTTTATGATTTGTTTTTGTGCAATGAAATTTTTAATATTACGTATTTAGTTAATATATTGAATTCATTCTAGCAATAATCAAGTGATTTGATGATTGGAAATTATTTTGTAAAGAAAAAAAATAAACTAATTCACTATCAAAGTTTTATCATTTTAAAACTGACTATTTTGATCCCAAGTTCAAATGTAAAAATTTGAAAGGAAAATAAAAAATAATAATTTAGGCCCCTTAAATACATTTTGATGGGAAGCATTAGCAACGACGGGAGTTCGCTGGCTGTGAACTGAGAAGGAGCCGCCGGACGACGTTCCCTTCCGCCTTAGTACAGCGGTGAAGAAACCTTAGCCGCTGAAATCGAAATCAATCGAAAGTGGATTATGGGGTTGGAAATTCAGATATTCCATTACCGAGAAGGAAATCTGTGCGCTGCGGCTGCGATGCCTTTCTTTGGCGTGCTATCAACTGATCTATGAGAGCGATCCTATATGATTTTATTTAGAGTTGTGTATTATTTTTGTTTGTAATACATTTGGCTTCCGTCAGGATTGGAAGTTACAACATTTTGATGGAAGCGACGGAGTTCGCTCGCCATGAAGGTCCCTTCTCCGTTCCATGCACTTCTTCGCGCAAACCCGGGTTGAAACCGAGTCATTCTCAGTTTCCGGGTCAACTCGAATCGACCCGAAATTTAAAACCGGTCAAAAATCAAGACCCGAATCCGACCCGTTTTGATTTCGGATTGACCCAAAATTTTCGTGTCAGATTTGAGTTGAATTTTAGGATCGTATCAAATATTGACACCCCTAATTAAGATTATATATGCAGCTGACATTAAAATAAAGTTTTTAGCATAATAGAAATAGAGTTGTCTTACATACATGAACATCTATTGCGCCCATTATATTAGATTGCATTCATGAACAAATGTAATATACATAATTGAATATGCATTGTATATGTTGATTTCATTTCTGTATGAAGTCGTTTTCTCTGAACTTTTTCCTAGTGTCTAGGTCTTTGTGGCCTAGCGTAGGAGCTATTATTCAGTGCGGAAATCTGACGGTTCTCCCGTCTAATTACGTGCTCGGTACCGAGCGCGGTATATTTTTTGGGTGGCATTGCACATTTTTATTAGTCTCCGGACGAATCTAGCCGCTACACTTAATAAGCATAGACTTGTAAACTGGAAAAATTCCACTTTGATGGATGCCTAACGACATAGCATTAACTCGACCCTGTAACAACAAACAGCAAAAAGGAATACAAACCTGCTGCGCATAGTTGTGGGCACATGAGATGTGTACAGATTTACAAGACGTCTTGCTTACCACTCTGCCATGTTTTGATGTTATTATAGCACAGAAGAAGTTGTGGAGTGAATCGATGAGAGAATGGGGACGAAGAAGCTATATATAAGCTGTATTTAGAAACTAGAAAGTTCTCTTTTAGTTAGTGCGTAGGATCCATGGCGGCCGCTACGCGGCTAGCAGAGGAGATTGAGGAAGTTTGTGGCGGTAGGTAGGAGGCCCTTTAAATTCATAGCGTCACCTATGTGTTTGACGATTTGCCCCAAAGAATAAATTGCTTGTGGAATAGAAGTGGGGCGAGGTAGCAGACATTAACCTTTTTTATGATAGAGGAACTGAAGGAGGTGATTGGGACACCTTTGTTTTTTGTCTTTTTGGTTTACTTAACTTTTTTATTGAGCAGGTTTGTTTTGAGCATGCTTATTTACTGTATACATATTTTAAATAAAAAGGGATTCGAAACAATCCCTTAACTAACAATTTCTATCAAAAAGTCATATAAACACTATAATGAGTTTGCTCTCCAATATCACACCCAACTAAAACTTTATTGAACAAAACTTATCTTTATATTTGCTTAAGATTTCTATTTGTAAAGGCTAATAGGAGGAAAAGCTCTCCTAATCAACCTTAAAAGAGAAAAACTGATGCATAACTGCAACAGAAAAACACTAAGTTGTTGAAGAATTGTGCTTATTTAGGACATTTCCCTTACTATTTTTTAAAGCAGCTTACTAGTGCAAAAATTCATATCTCAAATTCTTGTTTACTAAAAAATTATTTTAAAAAACAGTAAGAAAGTTGTCCCAAACAAAGCCTCCTATGGAGATCAACAACTGAAATATAGGAGGAGGTCACAGTTATGACTAGAACCAACTAGAAGCCATAGAAGAAACCAAAGCAGGATTCGCATACAGCACTCCATTAATCACACCAAACACACTCATCATCTACAAACAAGCATTTAAGCAAAAATCCATTGCATTTTAGCAGATCTCCAATAACTTCAAGTGGTTCAGTTCTAATCATATATAAATCAAAGCCAAGGCAAGAAAAATAGATTAGTTATCATTACAATTTTGAAAGATACAGAAGCTTTCAGTTTACTATATGATGAAGTAACATCAGACTAAAAATTACAAATAAAGGACAAACTTTTGTCAACTTCGAAACAATTTCTTCACATCTAAACTTTGACAAACTGAATACAATATGTCACTTATTAAAGGAACAAGCAATAGTAGTATCAGGCAGCACAATCATTACCTAAATTGATGTTATTTCAAGCAGAATCAGTTTGAGATCAGTAACTCCTTATGAGGGGCAAACCAATTGCAGTGACAATAATAGTAGAAGGAACTCCAAACTTTAAATGGCTCCAAAAGGAGAGATTATAACTATAAAACTGCGCCCTTCGAGCCTGCTCACATACTATCAAGTTTGCAGCAGATCCAAGTAGAGAGAGATTTCCGGCCACTGTGCTCATCCATGCAAGTATCAGCCAAGCACGAGCCTCTTCTGTTGCAGAGATTGAAGCTGCTGATGCCGCCACTCTACTCCCTAGTAGCAGAACTGTGAACAGAAGAACATTTCAGTACTTTAGTTAGAATTACTGAGAGTTATATGAAGTAGAAATAATTCAATTATTTATGATGTTAATGTTGATAAACAATACAACTACTCGTTTATTCATAAGGTTGCCTGTTCTTCTACAAATGATGAATATTGGACGACTTTCGTATTGCTTCTTAAAGCAGCTTTTATGTGTAAAAATTAAATTTTTTAAACTAGAAAAATGCTTTAAAAAATAGTAAGGAAGTCGCCCCAAACGAAGCCTTAATTTACTTCCATCACTGCTGCAGAACTATTTTTACACATAAAAGCTTAACAATATAAAACTTAACAGCATAAACGCAGAAACCTTGGTAAGATTTTAGTTGAAAATCTATTGCATACTTTCAATAGCTTAGGAAAGAAAAGAGATCAAGAAAAGGAGAATCAAACATTTTACCAGTGGGAACATTTGAGGCAACATTAGATAGAACAAGGATGACCACACTGAGTAATGCAATCCCACCAATACTGTCAATGCGTGAATACCTTTCAACAGCTTCCCAAAGGGTGCTTGGTATTCCTGTTTTATTGAAGCCATCAACAGATATGAACATCCCACAAAAGAATATCAGTAATGAGTATGAAACCTGAAACAAATTCAACAGACAGAAAAATTCAGGCTATATTAGAAATATTCAAAAGCTATCACATCAACGTTTTTTACTACTGAACATGATTGATTCACAAACAGTATTAGAAGGGGGTCAAGGTTGAAAAAGTTCAATGAGGGAACTTAAGGTTTAAAGCTTCTCCCAAGGGAACCTAAGTTGATAGCGAAATAATCTTGAAAAAATAATAAAATTCTTCATTAAAAAGAACCTTATCTAAGCAAAGTCGGGCGTCCTTGAAATCAAGAACAACAAGAGCAAGAGCAGCAGTAACAGCCGTCCAAGACATGTTAAGCCCCAGAAGAAGAGCAATGAGCATTCCAATGGTCACAAGATAGACACATATCTTCCACAAAGATCTCTTCCAATTCTCATTAGGAGCATCCCTTGCTTCTGAATTTGGCAATGAGTTTGCTTCTCCAGCATGACTGTTCCTACTTCTGCTGGTAGTTCTTATGTATCTCCTAGCAGAAGAAATTTCCTCCCTTCTCTGTGAAATACCAACAGTTTGTAATCCCAATCCATCAACAATTACAACAGTTCTCAAAGGCTCCGCATTCACTAATGAACTTGGTGTCATATCATCAATGACAGAGCTGAAGTCCTGAGAACTCATTGAATTAGCATAAGACATTGTCGCGGGTGAAAATCGGTGAGAATTCACCTCATTTTCTACAACCAAATCTCCGGCTTCGGCCTCCACTTTTTGATCCCTCTCTATAGACAAATGCTTCCAAAAGTAGCATAATAGTATTGCAGCATTAACTAACACACCCAACAACATAGAAGGAAAGATCCCAAACAAGAATTTCTCAAAAGAAATCTTACTTTGAATAGCTATAACAAGGTTCTGTGGGTTACCAATGGGAGTAGCAGCAGATCCAATATTTGAGCTCGAAGCAAGAGCTAGAAGAAAAGGTTGGGGAGGGAGATTGTTCTGCCTCACAATTTTCAAAATGAATTCGGTGAGAACAACACAGGAAGTGTCATTAGTGAACAAAGCACTAGAAATGGCTGAAACTAGACAAACTCTAAAGAGCAAATCCTTGCCTCCTCTACTCTTCCAGGTAAGCAATTTGCCAAGATACTTGAACATGTCAGCCCTCTCGAGATAGAAGCTAACAACCATGGTTCCAAAGAGGAGGCCAAGAATATGAAGATCAATGGCTTCATATGCTTCATCAGGAGAAATAACTCGGAATACAACCATGAGCATGGCACCAAGAAGAGCACCAGCTGTTCTTCCAATAGGCATGAAAGGCACAGCAGGAAAAACTGCTAAAACCCAAAAAAAGCCAAAAGCAATGCTGCCTAGAACAACCTTTACCGTCGACGCCATAGCCATTCTTTTTGTTTCAAATCGAATAAAGCAAAAAATGAACAAGTTCTATATCTCCTGCCGGGCTTGCTATCAAAATACCATCAAATCATTAGAAAGAAGGCAACCCTCCTAATATCCAAATGAGACATTGACAGGACTTCAAAACTTTTGAATACTCTCAAAAACTTGGAAATAAATGGCGAAAACCAATTATCAAAATCCATAAAACGAATGAGAATGAGAATCGATAATCTCTCCCACCCCAAACCCCTTTAAATCCATAAAACCACGGCACATTCAAGGAAGAAACCCACTGTGAGGTGAATCCACCGCAGCAAAAACACAAGCATTTGAGCTCCTAAACCAGATTCTCCCTGGAGAAGATTACCTAGACATTTAACATGAGAAAGAAATAGAATTTAGAATCCAAGATTTCAACTTTCGAAGAAAATTTGCAGACAAGAGATCGTTGAATCTCTTACTGCATTAAAAAAACTAGCTTTTGTGATAAATCTCTGTTTCATCTTCTTCCTTAAGTAAATTTTATGGGAGGAGCCAATGGAGGTATCCAGAATCAAACAAAAACGAACTCCACCTTAATCAGGTCCCACCGAGGATCCGAGAAGAGATATTCATTTTGTTATTCCAATTAAATTAAATAAAATTTTACTCTTTTTATTAATTCATATAAAAAACTAATTAAAATTTTAAGAAATAAAATAAATATGGATTCTCCGACTCCATTCTGTCTCATATTAATTTTTTATTTAAATAAAAATCATAATTCATCTTCTTACGTGGCCTTGAGGTGGGACCCAAACGGTGTACGTGGAAGCTTCATGGATCCTGAGACACTACATAACGCCACGTGGTCAAATTCAGAATATTTTATCAAAGAAATATATCACAACTCCAGAAGAGAACTCTATTTTAAGAATATATTTCTCTCAAATTTTATGAAAATTTTTATTTAAAAAAAAAGATTTATCTAACTAATTTATTAATATCAAATTTATATAGTCTTCACTTAACTAATAAAATCTACATATAATGTCTATATAATATTTATTATTTTCTTCAATATATTTTAATACTCAATTTTAAAATCATTTGATCTTCATAATTGGTAAAATATTTAGGTTAATTTTAGTTTTTGAATATTTATTTGATATAAAAAGGTCTACAATTGTTATAGTATAATACTTTAAATTAAATCTCTTTCACAATATATTTTTATTAAGACAAATTATTAATTTAATTAATATTTAAACTACATTTAAAAATATTTTTTTTCCATTTTAAATTATTAAAGATTAAAATTATTCTTAAATTAAATATTTAATGGATAAAAATATCAACTATTTCTATAAGAAAAATATTAATTAATTTTATGCTTCTAAAATTTGCCCCATGTGTTGCAAAACCTAATATCTAAAATTATTAAAATGATAATATTTTCTTTAAAATATTATATAACACTTAATTTCTTTAGAAATTATAAATTCATTTTTTATTTGAATATTTGTTAAATCATCTCTATTATAATTTAAGCATAATAAATCTAGTTATCATAAAATAAATTTTCTATAAAAAAGAATAAATTTACAAATATCAACTTCTTTAGAACTCTTATTTATAAAAAAATTTAATAAGTTCATATAATATACTTAAATTATGACATTACAACAACAATTTGCATTATACAATGAATGTCATGTATGATAGGACCTTAATGTACTTTAAAATTAAGATTAATTAAATTAATCAAAAAGGGATCAATATTAGGTAAGTTATGCCATCATCACATCAATGATTAAATTCAATTTTAACCTAAATTAAATGGCTAATAGCCAATAAATTAGTATTTATATTTTTAATTTATTTTTAATTATTCAAATAATTAAACACTAAAATATTGATTTTTCACATTATATATAGAAGCATGAGACCATTCCAAGAAGGGTTTCATAAAGTTTTTAAAGTAGTTATAATTAAATATTATAATTATTTTTTCAATGAAAAATTAATTTTTATCTATTTACTTGCTAGCCTACTCTTTTGTTTCTTTCAATCATATATTAGATTAAATAATTATAGTGCTTTTTTTGGTAGCATGAAGCAAGTAATTTTATTTTTAAGAAATGATGAAATTTATTAATTAAATTCATAATTTTAAATATTATAAACTTTCTCAAAATTGTCTTAGATTAACAATTTTGTTTTCACATTTGAAATGAATGAAAATAAAAAAAAAATATTTTTTTAACAAACAATCAAATTAATGCTCCATTTATTGAATTTCATTATGAAGGGCATGACACACAAGTGATAGAATTAGAATGCTTGCAAATGAATGAAAATAAATGAGAAGTTAAACTGCAAGTGCTAGCAAAATAGAATTAAAGTAGAGGGATTACACACAATTCATATTTATGTAATTAGGCTAACTTTTAGTCTACCACCATGCACATCCTCTTTTAGGGATAGGATATTTCTACCACGAGCTTGCTACAAGCTAAACTCCTTCACTCTTCAAGTTTAAAATTCATTATGCCCTCATAATGCTTGATATGTCAGAAAAAATTCATCTTGATGGGGGACAAATTAATTATCGATGCAAATATGAGTCGTAGGCTTCAAAAATTAAAATAAGGACCATCAAAATTCCAATTTCAGCAAGCCTATATCAAATTGTACATCTCAACTAGATGAACCCAACGACACAAAATTCGATCTAATCCAAGCCCAAATGGGTTCAAATCAAAGGACTAAAGCCTATTTGAAAACTTCAAAATATTAACTGGACAACCAAATGATATTCAAATATGACATGATTATAGTTGAATTGACGGGCTCGACGAGAAAAATCCAACGAGCCCAAAATCACTCAATTCTGACATCGATCTCTAGGGCACTCAAATGCTGAACAAACACTCTATGATCTAAGGAATTAATATGGGCGTCCAATGGAACACTCCCAACATACCCTTAATTTTCTTCATATTTACTGAGGATGACAGTCCTAGAAAATTATAAATAACTCTCATTCTTCACATGAGAGAGAGGGAAAGGAGAGAAAGCTTCAGAGCTCTTTTGCACTCTCCATCCCACTTAGCCATCGGCAAATTTCTTCCCGACCATGACCACAATTGGACTTCTATCAGTTCTCTGATTATCGCCAAAACTCATCCCAGATGCTACCGACATCGGATCTCCTCCCAAACTACAATCCCTCTAACCTCTAACCTCGGTCACCGGCCAACTACGGTCCCTCTGACCTCTATTGGCCGTCGACTACGGCCCCTCTAACCTTTGTCACCCGCCGACTATGGTCCTTCCAACCTCTATTGCCCGTCGATTATAGTCCCTCCAACCTCCATAGCCCGCCAACTATGGTCCCTTCGACCACCATCACCCATCTCTCCGACTTTCGTCGCCCATCGTCTATAGTCCCTCCGACCACAGTCACCCGCCAAGTATGGTCCCTTCAACAAAGTCGCCCCCGTTGATTGCGGTCTCACTGACCACAGTCGTCTACTAAGTACGGTCCCTACGACCTAAGTCCCTCCGACCTCTGTCGCGGTCCTTCCAACCTCCATTGTCCGTCAAGTACAGTCCCTCCAACCTCCATAGCCCGCCAACTATTGTCCCTTCGACCACCATCACCCATCGTCTATAGTCCCTCCGACCACAGTCACCCGCCAAGTATGGTCCCTTCAATAAAGTCGCCCCCGTTGACTGCGGTCTCACTGACCACAGTCCTCTACTAACTACAGTCCCTACGACCTAAGTCCCTCCGACCTCTATCGCTCGCCAACTATGGTCCCTCTGACTCCCGTAGTGTGCTCTAGCCTCCATCACCCTCCTACTATGACCCTTCAGACCACCGTCGCCCGCCGACTTAGATCCTTCCGAACACCATCTTCCACCGACTACGATCTTACTGACAAAGTAAACATGCCAACATTCTCTTCGGAATTGTGGTCATGTAATGCGCTCAATGCATATTTGTTATATTGAGCCAACACCCTCCTTCAAGGAGTGATATATTATTTGTAATCAACCATCAATATTCAATACTATTAAATTCATTCAAACTAGATCAGACCCCATAATTTTTTTCTCTTTTTAGGGTTTTCCATATAAAAAATTTGGTGTCTCTTATGAATGTTGCACCTTACTCTTTTTTCTGTATGTATGTTAGATTTTCGTACAAAGCCAAGATGCAAATTAAACTATATATCTTTCAACCGCTGCAAATATTCCAAGATGTAATAATCCCCAATTTGAATTATATATATATATA